TATATATATATTATTTTTACTCTGTTGGCTAAATGTTTGGGAAACCTCCTCAGCTTTTAAAAGGTACACAGTTAGAAAAGGATTACTGCCAGTTTCAAAGTGTGAAGATCTGACAAATGTTTTGTTTTGAGGATCTATTAGAAGTTTAGAATAGGACGTGATTTGTGTCTGAATCTTGTACATAGGAGATCATAAAACCTATATAAGCATCATCTACTGTTGACTTCTGTATGTAATCGAAGGACATTGTTTACATTTGTGAAATGTTCTGTTTTTTTTCTGGTGACAATCGCTTCGGACTCAGAGCATGCTAGAAACGCATAGAAGCACAAAACTATATTTATGTCGGTTATGGTTCCTTTCTATTTCCTGTAAATAGAGACGACATGCAGTACTATGGGAGACAGTTCTTTCTTAAATCCATTTGTACTAGCTTTGTAGAAAGTTAATTCTATTTTAAAGAGCATTGTATATTTGATAGCCAAACTCTAAGCTATGTAAAATGTTTATTTATGGTATCGTTGGTCAGAGGACTACTGTCCAGACGTCTTTCTTAAAAACCCCTGTCGCATGCTTTTAGCCAACATGAAACCTCCCCCTCTGTTTTTTCTGAATTTCAGACACTTTTATTGTCAGTTTTAATGAGCTTTATCTGCCTTCAGTGAGATTTTATGAAGTAGACGCGTGCCACAGGACTGCAGCTGCCACTACTTGACCCACTTGTAACATGAACCAAAGTCCTATTAAACATTGCATTATGTTCAGCACCTTGCAAAAGCATTCGTTCGCTCCGAATGTCTCCACGTTTTGTCACTTTACAAACGACAAACCACATTTTATCCCTTTGGCGTTTTATGTGACGGGCCGACGCAAAAGACTGCGTGGAGTGGAAAGAAAATGTTCAGTCAGATTGAATGGAGAACATTCGTGTTCAAGTCTTTCCACAGACTCACAATTGCATTTATACTTTAACTAGACCATTCTAAAAAAAATGGTTTAAATAATTTCCTTGTACCTCCAGCTGTGCGTGTGGCCATAGCCTCTCGCTGATTTCCCTCCATAAATTTGCAAGAGGCCGAAGAAAAATACTCCCCACAGCATGATACTGCATCTACCATGTCTCAAAGTGCATTCAGGGTGACCTGCAGTGTTGGTTTTCTGCCACACGCTGTTTTTGCTTGTTGGTGAAAAAGTTCCGTTCTGCGCTCGTATCGTTTTGTAACCCAACACCTGCTCTGTTCACGAACGAACCCCTGAGGCCTTCGCAGAACAGCTGGATCCATAATGAGATCAAGTCACACAGGTGGAGGTATTCACGTAATCGGTTCCCCGGGGCTTTTATTTTGGGGTAACAGAGTAAAATGGACTGAAGACAAGCGCAT